AAGTGAGTTACCATGTTTACTCATGATTCTTCATTTTGAACTTACTCTTCCTGGTTATTCTTTAGCCAAGGGCTGCCCTGCATTGTGTATGGTTCATATGAGGGTCCTTTCCTCACTAGAAGGTCATAAGATGTGAAGATCAGGTCTTGCAGAAGTTGCCATTTCCCTCTGATACCAAAAAGTCAGGGTAGTTACTCATGATCATAAGTTTGAATGAAGACATGAATCCCTAAGGACTGTATGTTAGTAATTTCCAGTACTTATTTCAGCAGAGGTGAGGTTTAATCTTCTGAAATAAATACATGCATTAAAAAAACCAAAATGTTTTTCCAAGAACACATTAATGGAAGTTGGGGCTTTCTTTTGTTCAAAAACCAATGCTGACTGGATTCCAAGGGTTTTTCCATGAATAGCATACCTTGGCTGTGTGTGGGAACAGTTAGAAATATTTCTTCCTGGGTTGTCCCTCCTCCACCTGCATTGATCTGCTGTGTTGCTCATGTCTCTCTTTCTAAGCTTTTCATAGAATAATAGAATCATTTAGGTTTGGGAAAGGCCTTTAAGATCATCGAGTCCAACCATTAACCAAGCACTGTCAAGTCCAGCACTAAATCATGTCCCTAAGTGCCACATCTACACATCTTTACATGTCTTTAGGGACAGTGACCCAACCACTTCTCTGAAGCCTTTTCCAGTGCTTGGCAACCCCTTCAGTGAAAAGATTTTTCATAATATCTAATCTAAACCTCCCCTGGAACAAATTAAGGCCATTTCCTCTTGTTCTATCACTTGCTACATGGAAGAAGAGACTGACTCCTACCTTAACACAACCTTCTTTCAGGCAGGTTGTAGAGAGCAATAAGGTCTTACCTGAACCTCCTTCACTCCAGGCTAAACACACCCAGCTCCCTCAGCCATTCCCCACAAGACCTGTGCTCCAGCCCCTTCACCAGTTCTACTCCCTTTCTCTGGACATGCTCCAGCACCTTAATGGCCTTCTTGTAGTGAGGGGTCAAAACTGAACGCAGAACTCAAAATGCAGCCAGTTTCTTGAGCTCTGATTAGCTCAAATAATTTTGGGCAATCTGAAGATGTTTTTCTGGTCCTTCTTTCTGCTTCCTCTTCTGTGCTTTACTCCCAGTGGGAATCCTCCTTGCAGGGCAGTGCCAGGTCTCCCCACTTAGAAACTATGTGTGCATTTTTGCTCTCTGTTGGTGATTTTTTGTGTGGGAAGGGAACAAAGTGAGATGTGGTCTCTTACCTGATTTGTATCTATGCCATGTTTGCAGTTCACTAAATGTTATTAAGCTTTGTCCAACTTTTAAGTATTAGAGAAGAGAGGCTCTTACTGCATACTAACTTAGGGATGTTCAGATGAGTTGTCTGCAACTGCCAAGATAACGGCAGTGGTCCAAACTTTGTTAGCCTGCTGTCTTGTGGGACAGTTGGTATTTGCAGTGACAGTTTGTTTTTGCTTACTACCAGACAATCTTAATGGCTTCAGCTGCCGCTACTTCTGTACTTTCATATTTTTAACTGTCTGAATAATCCAATTAATTTCACTAGCATGCATAAAACAGAGCTTGTGCTTAACTATTCAGAAAGAGTAATGTCAAAAGCCTTTACTGAAACTATCTTCTCAAAAATGTATCACTTTCTTTCAGCGTGTCTTATTTGACCCCTTATTTTCCAACCATCCCTCAGCTTTATTATTCATGTATCTCTTCAAAATGACTGGTGGTAGATACATGCAAATAGATCATTTAATTTTCCTGCAATGTCTTTATCCTCTTTAATTGTTCCCATTGCACCCTGGTACTCCACTGAGCCTTTTGGTTCTCTCACAGCCTGCTTACACCTCTTATAATTAAGTAATTTCTTCTTATTTGTTTTCATGTTATGCCTTTGGCTAATCTCCCCACCAAATCCCTCAGCTAAACCATCTTCATTTTTGTTTTACGTTATTGTTCCTTACCACTAGCTTCTGTTGGGCTAACTTCCCATTTTCCAAAGGGTATTTGAAGAGCCTCTTTTGTGGTACCTTTCCATTCAGCCAAAGCAGATAGGCACTCTCCCTCCCTCCTCCTTTTTGTCTTTCTGAGGCTTGTGCAAATCTTTTGTAACTCATTAGTGGCTCACTTCAGTAAGCTCCATGCTGAATCCTTACAGGACCTTATACATTTCCCTTTGTGTAATAGTAGTTTATTTCACTTTTTTTTCTGTGTGAGAGGGTTAAACTGGTGAGGAAGGGGATTGAAGGAGGGAAGGGAACATTAAGCAAAGGAACAAAAACTAATAGCAAGTGGTTCTGTGTTTATGCATAGAAAATTATTTGGATGCAAATCAGTCACACAGCTGAATAATTTGTCTCAAAGCCCAAAGATCAAGGAGCAGAGGGCTTCAGCCTCAAGTGGCACTCTGTCTGATTTCTATCCAGACTCTGCATTCACAAAACAGTGTGTCTGCAAATAAACCACCTGGAGGACTTGTATGCTGCTTTCATGTCTCCCTGTACTCATCTGAAAAACAGCTTTGTGTTCACAGTAAGTTATTTCCTACATGATGTCTTAAAACTGCAAATAAATAGAGAAGGGAGGGTTGTAGGTAGGGAGAGAGACAGATTAATTACAAACTAAGAAAACTAGGTGCCATATCTTCCAGGTAAATAATTTCTACTGAAAGTACAGGGAAGTACAGGTGAGTAATTACTTGATAAACTGGCAATTTATGTAGACACACAAACAAAGACTGGGATTTCTCAGTATAGTGTCCAAGGGTAAGATTTTGCACTCAAATATTTAATTGTTATTTAGAGTTTAAGTGGATTACAGAAGTTGCTTTGTACGTACCATTCCCAGATAGCCCTACTGAAATAATTATGCAGGCTTTAAAAACATTAGAGGTAGCAGGATCATAAATATAAGTTTGAATGTACTCTTAAGAAAATTTCTTCCCACAAATGGAGAATGAAATCTTATCACAATGTGGCTCTGTTTTCACACCTTTGGTAATAACAAACATCCAGGTCATTCTAAGTGTCACAACTTAAATTGAAAGTTAGGATTATAGTTAAATCAAAGTCAGGATTATTCCATCTTTCCCAATCTAGCCAGAAAGCCCATCCATGGATGATGATATTATTCTGCACTGATGCCAATAAGAGTGCAAAGAAGGCTGGTATGTGTGTGAGCATGCTTTTGGAGCTACTACACACCTCTAGGAGCTTCCCTGGGACATTTCTTATGGAAGGCTGACCACCTTGAAGAGGGATGCTGGGATAGTAGTGTAGGATATATTAAGTAGATAGGTCCAGAGGTATATTTGATTTTTTCACCTTTGAGAGTGTAGTCATCTGATGATGCTGCTTGAAAGACATCATTTGTTTCAGCTGGGCAATAGGTAGTACATCAGAGTTTTTCAAAATAAATTTAGACTAAAAATAAATGTCAAGTGCCAGGCCAATCAGTATGCCTTCACCTTACATTGCTAAGGAAATACTTCCTCAGTTTTTCTGTTTAGCACAACTTCCCCACAGGATTTGAAAAGGTCAAGGTTGTCCTGTAAGTGTAAATGACGGAGGGGTGATTTGGTACCCAGCAGCAACAAAATTAAATATCTTGAAGCTCTATTTATTGTCTCAGCAATTATACTTCAGAGAAACTTCTAACTTTTACAGAAAGGCAGAGTTCAGAAGCACCTTTTTCAAGGAACCAGGTCTTCAGAGAAAGAACGTACATTTCCACTCAAAACATGCTGAGAGAAAAGAGCAAGAATAAGAAAACACTTCATCTATTCAGGGGTATTCAGGGGTAGAGGTCTTGATGGCAGAGAAGTTCATTTCAACTGCACATAGGTTTTTTATCTCAGGCAGAATTTGAAGCAACGCTCTTGAAGACTTAGAGGACTTGTTTTAAAGTAAAGAAAACAGCAGAAAAGGATTAAATTAAAATCTCCATGGGAGAACATGGTGTGAACCATCCCTGTAAGACACCTCAGGCCTCATCAAAACTTGAGAATTATGCAGAGGTAAAGCAGATTGCACTAGTAGTATGTTACAATTTCATTTTAGACAAGGTTAAGCTGTAATTTCTGAAGCTTTCTTTATTTGTTGCTCTCTAAAAGAATCTATTGTTGTAAATCATCTTAATGAGAAGGACAGATGAGAAGAACCACCTGATTCAGCTTACTCAGGTATAAATATGGACTAAGTCATTAAAGCGTCCAACTGTTTTGTAAAATGCATGAGGCGGAAGTAGAGAGCAGCCAGGCTTCCCAGTACAGACCCGGACATTAAAGAAAACATTTCAACATTTTCTTCTCCATTACTTGCTATATCCTTCAGGGCCTCCAAGGTTTTTAATTATTCTCCCAGAGCTGAGGGAAGCCTTGCAGCCAGCTTATTGTAGCTGATAATTAATAAAGAGTTCCCATTTTAAGTGGGTGCAAGGATTTTTCATGTTGCATTTGGTTTGCAGAAATAAGGCAACAGTCAAACTTTATTGTGCAAAGCCTTGCATTATTCCCTTCACTCAAACAGGAAGGCACAGAACCTAGTTGTAACCATATCTTTTATACTTTTATTGTACTCACTTATTCCGTTTTCTGAAAAGAAGGGAGACAAACAAGCAAAAATGATAAAGTATATCCAAACGAACAAGAGTTTAAACTGATAGCTTGAATTTATTTCATTTCACCACAGACAAATAGTTTGCCAATGTAGCTTAGCTAAAATCTATTGTAAGGAATGCCAGAAGAATTGAGGAGATCTCATTCAGTGTTTATTTTATCCACCAGTGAGCAAGATTTATCACACTGAGGAGGGAAATGTGAGTTTTCGAGCAGGAGTTCTTTAATGACACCTCTGAAACAACTCTCTTCAGAAGAATTCTGCCAGAATGAATCCCTGTACCTCGCTCATGCCACATTCACAGCAAAGCTGAGTATCTTGAGGTTTGAAGATAACTGCAACCATTGATTTTTTTTTTCTGCTTTGGCTTTAGGAACTCCTTCATAGATATCCTTCGGGCTATTCTACTTTCCTTAGAAGTGCTCATCGAAGATCAGGAGCTTCAGATAAATGGCTTCATTCTAATTATAGACTGGAGCAACTTCTCTTTCAAGCAAGCCTCCAAGCTTACACCATCTATCCTCAAACTGGCCATTGAAGGGTTACAGGTAAGTGGAGGGTAACACATGTACTTGCAACTTTTATTGCTACAGACAGTGATTTTTGCCTCATCAGGCACTGGGCAAAGTGAAGGGTACAGAAAATAATCCAGAACGCTTTAATCTCCCATCTACTTGCAGCATAGATTGATTTTCAGGCGTCTCATTTTGTCTGTCTTTCACTTCTATTTCAGCTGTAAATCAATGTAACCAATATGTGTGTTACTTAACGCAGCATTAAAAGAAGGAGGGTTAGAGATTTGAGGTTTAATCCATCAGAGAATTTGGGGGGGATTAAAATCCAGCAGTGTCTGCCTTCTGGAGTGTGCAGTCCACATGCAAGCACATGTGTGTGCAGAGGGAGGGTGGCAGGAGAAGAGAGCAGCTCCCTCAGCAGATGGAAGAGTGCTGTTGTGTTTACGTGAATGCATTTGAGTTGGAGGGAAATGAAGAAGAGGGAGGACAGGCTCCTTGTTGTGCCCTCATTCTGACTGCCTTTATTTGTCACACAGGATCCTGTTACATTATGGTTCAGACTGCACGTGGACTGCATGCCCACTTGGTGCTTGCAGATAAATAGGAGCAAGCTTAAACCATGTGCTGTTACAGGGTTAGGTAGAAAGGACAAGGCAGCTGGGGCCTGGTGGGGCAACCTGAAAATGAGGCAACCTGAGGATGAGAATAAACTGTGGTGCTCAGAAAGGACTTCTGTCCTTTCCACTAAAGTCTGAGCCCATTCCTGCTGTTAGACCTGAGATTGATTTTTAGGTCTAAAAGTAGTCTGACATAACCTTATTAATTGAGGGCATTTGATAGAATTCAAGGACTATTTAGGTTATAAGGAGCTCTGGAGATCACTTTATCCGACCCCCTGCTCAAAGCAGGGCTGACCTCAATCTTATACCAGGTTGTCCAAGGACCACATGCTTCATGTAGCTAAATATTTTAAAAGAGAGATTATAAGTCATTGAGTTTTCATCTTATTTTTAGTACTTACCAGATATCCTGCAGTCATAAATACCTCAACAATAATTTTTCACAGGGTGTGTGTGTTTATTTTAACTTTAACTTACATAATAGAAAGAACAGTTTGTTCAACTAATTTTTTGACTAACAAATAGTCTACAATTAGATAATGATTGTCTCTACTTCATGTTATTATTCAAAAATGAGGTAGAAAAATCTGCCATCAGTTTTAAGCCTGTGTTCCCCTTTGTGAGGAATTTTCATCTATTCTAACAAATTAGAAAGTCAAGCTGTGCAATTAGTCCTTAGGACAATACCTTATCTTCTCCTGCTGATACTATCACTTCATTCTCTGGTTCAAAACAACCCCTCCAATCAGAAGGAAGATAAAGCCAAGTGACATCCACAAAAAAATCAAATTCTAGCAAGTTGTCCTTGTGCCTGCCCGAATTTTGCTTTTCCATCTATTTGGTAGGAGTCCAATCCAGCCTCCGCCCCATCTGATTTCTGGCCATGGCACTGCCAGGTTGCCTGCCTACAGTTTATTTGCACTTGTTGGCAACAATATGTTTTGGGAAGTACCAAAGCCTGGGAGTACCAAATCTGATCTTAAGATTGTGTCATTAGCCTTATATCCTGTGCCGGGCAATTTAAGGAGGCTGCCTTTCTCACGTCTATGTGGGCACTGTATTTCTTATTTAAAGTCAAGTTACTGTTGTCTTCTCTGTGATTACTAGAAATATAACTCTCTTTAAAAGTACGAATTGGGATAATGTGTCCTAGACTTAAGTAGCCACTGGCTTGATGAGTTGTAGGAGTTGTGAATGCTGCACTCTGATTTACTAGGCTTAGAAGCAAGTCATTCATGCTCATAAAGCACATATTTAGCAAACAATGATGGTAGGGACCTTTTAGTTTTGGAGTTTTTTGGCTCTCACCATTGCTGTTGAATTATTTTCATTGAGACTTTGTTCTAATATCATTTTAAACGAACTACTGCTATCCTAGTGTAAAATTTGTGTAAAATGTAGTTGAAGTGGAGATGAGACTTGCATACAGAAAAAGTGTCACAATATGAGTTGCATTGGAGGCCATTGAAAGTAAAAAAGTCAGGTCCTACTCTCATGAGCTGATGATGTCTGGAAAAAATTGAGATTGTTTCAGTTCCTGTTTATTTCCTGCAGCTAAGGCCCGGGGCATGTACAGACAGGCAGATAACACGGCTATCTCAGTCCTCCTTTATAAAAAGAAATTTTGGGTTACTTTAAGTCCTATGTAAGTCTAAGTAAGTGGATGGAAAGAAAATAATTCTCTCTTACAATTTCTACTGGAATTGAACCCATATGTTCACATGTGGGTATCTGGGCCAGGAACTTTTAGCCTCTCTCTATGTAATGGTAATTTTAATGCCATCGCTGAACCATTTTCCCAAAGTTTCTTAAACTCTCATCTCATTCAGTGTCTCAGACCACCTCATTCTGAAATATAGAATTGCTTAAAAATAAATAGTATTTAATAATTTATGCAATTGGGTTTTTTCTCATTTTCAAGTTGCTTTCAGCCAATTAATATATTGCCACTTTTGTGTGTGTATTTTTCCTCAAGTTGCTGCTGCAATGCATTATCATTAAGTGCAGACAACACGCATTATGCAGATACATATGTTAATTCATCTTGTGTTGTAAAACAAACACTAGTCAAATCTAATGAACTTGGCTGCAGAAATTAATATATTGCTATTACACCAGCTGATCAGTTCCAAATACTGTAAAGTCTGTAAATACTTAAAAAGATGAAGTAGGATTTACATCACCACACGTCTGAGTCCACATTTTGCTCAATACTACTGCTTGTTCTGTATGGATTCTGTATGTATTGCATTACACAGACAGTTCATTATAACTCAACAGGGCACCTACTCTGTTTCTCAATTATGTTATTTAATGACCTAAAAACAGCCTTATGTCTCCACTTTAAACTACAGTAGTTCAGATGCTAAACAAGTGTTTGTACAGTATGGTAATTCTCATTATGTCACAGCAGTGCAGGGATGAGTGTGTTCTTAGTGCCTAAACCCTCTCTGATTAACAAGCTTTGATGTTTTATCACAAGACAATTGCTACTGTATGCTTTGAGCTCATGCCAGGCTCCTTCCTAGCCCTTACTGATCTTTGAGTTTTAACACACTGAACACAAGATTGTCATGTGGATGGAAAGGTGGGGAAAGAGATGTGTGTAAAACCAATATATTTTGCCAATAACTTGGTGAGTTTTGACTTCTAATCCTTATTCTTTTAATGTCAACAGCTTTTCTCCTTTACAGCATCTTTTTTCCCTGTTTTCTTCATCTGTGAAATTATAGTTCTCTGTGTGTCATGCTGAGCTTATAATTACTCTGTGATAGTAGACAAAATTTAATTATGGCTGAAGTTAACCAGACACTAATCTCTTGTTATTTTGCGTAGCGGTTTAGAAGCATCAGAGTTCAATAGCAAAGGTAAGAAGCCCATCTTGCAATCATGAAGCAGGTAAAGCACGTAAGAAGTGGTCACTTTTTAGTGTGCACTAACCACTGCATTTGGAGACCTCTAATAATCATGGGAAGTGTTACAGTGTTTAGGCTGTGTGTCCTGTGGAGTCCAGCCTTTTCTTTTTTGTTTAATGGTTGTTGGTTTCTGCTCTGAGGATGTAGTTACTTTGCCTCCAGACAGGACTTTTGATTTTAGGGTGCTTCTACAAGTGAGTATAGAGAAGGACTGTTTGCTTCTGATTTATCCAACACCACAGCTATGCACTGCAGTTTGTGTACATGCATGCACATAGCAATTTAAAAATTCCTCCAGCTAGTACTCTGAATTGAAATACAACAGCTTCTCTAACAGCAGCCAGAAATATTCCAAAACCTTCAAAACAGCAGGTCTGACCTCACCTGCCATTTCTTTGGTGAAAACCACACCAGAAGGCCATGGTCTACTAAGACCCAGATGAGTGGCTTATGGCACAAATCAGCCAGCTGGATTCAAACCTGACCTGAAGATCAGGTTTGCAATCCAGTGTACCTAGTACTGCCTCACATAAAGGCTAACTTGCCCCAAGGCTGTCTCAAGGAACTGAAACAACAAGTAGGGTGAATGGTTATTTCCTGTATTCTTTCTTCATCTGATAGTTCTGTCACATGCAGTTCTACTCATATGTGATGACAGTGACTCTTAAAAAAGAAGCCCTATGCCTACTTTGTGACAATGATGAACCACTGCAGGAGTGCTCTTTAGGGTTCAATAAGGCTTTGATTCAGTTGACACAGTCATTACAGCAAATAGCAGTAACAACAGGGAACAACCAAGATCTGCAAACAGGAATTTGTCCCCAGATTTTCACCAGTAGTAACTTGACAGAAGATTTGACCAACAAAGTACGTTAGGGGATCCATTACATTTTTTTTTAAATTATTTTCAGTTTGTCATAAGCTAGCAAAAATTTGAAGCTGGTATTTCTGGGAGGAGAGGAAAATGAAAGGAAATCAATAATACTTGACTTAAGAACACTTTAATCAGGTACTGGTATAGATAAAAATCTTCTGAAAAAATCTTCAAATAAGGGAAACTTGAATATGCTTGTCTTAGGAAATTGTTCAAGATACATTTGTCCAGAATAGTTCTAATGTTCAGATGAAGTCAGATAATCAAGGTAACAGGTTTGTTTAGACATTACCAGAGATTATCCCACTTCAAAATCTGGAATGAGATTATGGAAAACTCAGCCGGTTTAGAAATATACGAAGCCTTTTCATCTTTAATATGAGCAATAGATATAAAAAGTCTTTTTATAAAATTTCCTCCTACTGTAATTATGTGGGATCGAGAAACTTACTGTCAGTTAAATTGTAGCAGCAAATTACTTATCTTTTGACACTATCTTATACAATCAAATATTTTTCATTTTGTGCTTCAGGAGGAGGAGCTATAATATAAAATATTCTTAAAATTAAAAATAGAATGTAGAGTTTGAAGGAAAAAATGCAATTGAATATTATGTCAAAGGAA